GTTCCAGCCTGGATCTTTTAACTAAACTTTATCGGAAACTTGCCTCTGCCAACGAAATATTGAAATATTGAGCATAATAGCTCGAAAGATTTGCTCATTTTGTACCAGCATAGCATCCGCATCTTTGAAATTCCCGGTAAACGCGGCCATCATCGCTGATCGTACATCTTTGCTTGGCTCAGCCCTTAGGTCTGACAAAAATTTTACTTTTTCAACCTGAAATCGAATGTTACCGTTTTGACAGAAAGTGAGAGTCAAAAAGGACCCAGAATTTATTTAGACAAAAGTGAAATCGTTCAGGGTAGTGAAAAAATTTTCACTCTTCAAGAGCTTGTTCTGAATTAAGGAAATATGAGCCTCGTTCCGGAATATGCGACAACGAAAAGAATTTTGGTACTGTAAAAGCCGAAACAGCTCTTTCAAAGGTTGCAAGCTCGTTGTTACTCGAAGTTGCAAGAATAGCTACACAGAGGATTTTTGAAATTAGCATTGAAGGCAACGAGAACAAGAATCAGCGAGTAGGAGGTACGCAAAAAGCATTTAACGTCAAGAGTAAATCAGATCCGAGACCACTGGCTGACCTACGAGTGAAGAGCGAATTGGTTGCTAACACATTGCCATCCGCAGGCTCAGATAATATCCGAGAACTTCTAGCCAGCAGTTCCAGCCGATATACGTAAAAAAATTCCATTTAGATCCTTTTTACTGCATCTTACTGAGAAAGGCGTGAGAGCGGGAAGAAGCGTCGAAGCGTAGGCTTCGGTCTATCAACTTCTCTAATGTGACTTTGCAGGAATCAACATCCAGCTCTTTCAAAGTAAACTCAGCTTCTCATTTAAATTATACTTTTTCACCCGAACTTATGTTATTATTAATAACAGTGGCGATGATAATAATAGTAATAGTAACAATAATAATAAATAGCGGCGCGCACTAGGGCAGTCGGTGCGGTCATACGTCTTGTGCAATTCCGTTCACTGAAATATTGCCTGCTAATAATTTTTTCTGTCCTGCCGAAACTTTCACGGGGCCGTAAGTGATTCTCAGACGCGTGGGAAGTTGAATTTAAAATTGTAGGATTGTATGTGGACAAAAGGCGTTACCATAAAGTTTAGCTTCCTGTCTTTTATGGTTCCCGAGATAATATTTTCCCTACCAAAACTTTTACGGGGCTGTAGGTGATACCCGAGAGCGTAAGAACGCTGAATTTGAATTTGCGAAGTCGTGCGTCGGTAGGGGGTTATTACTTCAAAATTTCAGCTTCCTGGATTCCGTGGCTCCCAAGATAATAATATATCGCCAAAACTTTCACTGGGCCGTAGGTGATACCCGAAAGCGCGGGAATGCTGAACTTGAACAGGCAAGGTCGAGCGTGGATAGGGGGTTATTGCACCAAAATTTATCTTCGTATATTCAGTGTTTCCCGAGATAATAATTTACCCGTCAAAAATTTTTGCGGGGCCGTACATGTTACTCGCAGGCAGGGAAAGCTGAATTTAAATTTTCCGGGTAGCACATGAATGGGGGGCATGCCCACAAATTTCAGCCTTCTAGCTTCCTTGGTTCCCGTGATAATAATTTTACCCCTCAAACTTTCACGGGGTCGTACGTGTTACCTGCCCGCGGGTACGGGGAGGCTGAATTTAAATTTTACGGAGTCGCGTGTAGATGGGGAACGCTCTCCTAAATTTTCAGCTCCCTATCTTTTGTGGTCCCCGAGTTGAAAGTTGCGGACAAGTTGCTGTGGACACACACACAAAACACGCACAGACAACCCCGTGACCATATGCGTTTTGTACTGCTGTTA